AGCCGCCGCCGCCGACGACGAGGAGGGGCAGGCCGAAGGTCTTGACGAAGGCGACGCAGGCGCCGTGGGCGCCGACGTTGAGGTTGAAGCAGCCGAGGCGGTCGCAGCCGAGGGAGTCGGCGCCGCATTGGAGGACGATGGCGCCGGGGCGGTAGGTGTCTACGCAGGCGCCGACGATGTCGCGGAAGAGCTGGATGTAGGATTCGTCGTCGATGCCGTCGTTGAGGGGGACGTTAACGGCGTGGTGCGCGCCGGGGTTGAGCGGGTGGGTTGGGCCGGTGCTGTCGAGGGGCCCCGTGCCGGGGAAGAAGTTATCCTTGTCGTATTTGTGGAAGGAGACGGTGAGGACGCGGTCGGTGGACCAGAAGGCCTGCTCGACACCGTCGCCGTGGTGCACGTCTATGTCAATGTACATGACGCGTGGGTGGTGTCGGAGCAGCTGCAGGATGCCGAGGACGATGTCGTTGACGTAGCAGAAGCCGCTGGCTTCGGCCTTTTTGGCGTGGTGCAGGCCGCCCGACCAGTTTACCGCGATCTCGGACTGGTTGTTGCACAGTTTGCGCGCCGCGTCGATGCTGCCGCCGGCGTAGAGCGAGCAGTAGTTGTACAGCCCGTTGAAGATGGGGCAGTCGTCGCCGAAATTGAATCGCGCAATGTTTTCGCTTTGCTCTGGATTCTCCATGTCCCCAGGCATCACCTGCCTCAAGAAGTCGAGGTAGTCTGTCTGGTGGAACTCAGCCATCTCTTCGTACGTCGCAGCGCGGGCCAGGTAGAGGTCCATGGCATGGTGCATCCCGTAGGCCATGACGAGCTGCTTAGTGAGAGTCAGTCGCCAGGGCTTCATGGGATGCGACTGGCCAAAGTGGTGCGGTTCCACGGCCGGATTGGCGTGCCATGAGACTCGGTAGCCTTGCGGACGAGGGATGCCATTTGTCTGTCGCTCGAGGGAGACTTTCTGATCAACACTCAGTGTGAAATTCGACGTGGGCGGAGGATTGTATTCTTGAACAATGGCGGAGCGCGCCATGAGGTCGGAATGGTAGGGAAGAAATAGGAGAAGAAAAGGAAAAGAAGAAAATAAGAGAAAAGATTAGAGTCATAAATAAATCATGTGCGTCTAAGACATGCTGTGAGAGACCAGATTCAAGATGAAGAGGTCGAGAGGTCGAATTCGAAGGATTGAATCGTCGAAGATGTGGAGAAAAGAAGAATACTACCAAGAGGTACTAGTGGTGGAAACTGGAAAGTTGAGAGAGGCAGAAGAACGGGTGGCGGCCACTCTCATCTTATCAAACATCAGCCAGAAACTAGACTACTCAACGACCTAAAACATGCTTGAAATTATGCATGTGCTTTCTGCTTCGAAATATCTAGATAGGATCGCCCTAACTCCCTACTGAAAACCTTTAAACCATTGAACGAATACCTATCTCTTCACAAGATGGAATTCTCTACAGAAATGCAATTCCCGAGATAATCCCGAGCTTATTAATCGACTCCCGATCTCGGACCACTGGCAAGACAATGCTTCAGAGCAAATTACAGATTATTAGAGAGGCCAACGGGAGGAAGTGATGGAGTAATTGTCTCAGGGACACAATTGGTGTCTTGTATTGCGTGTTGGTGATACCGTGTGTTGGTGATACCGTGTGTTGGTGATACCGTGTGTTGGTGATACCGTGTGTTGGTGATACCGTGTGTTGGTGATACCGTGTGTTGGTCGAGTGCGACATCCCTTTGAGTCAACACCCCTAGATTATATCTACCGCTACGCGTCGCTCTCGTAAGGCTGCTAAGCTTTATTAACAGCCCGTTATCAATCGAGCAGCAGCAAGCAACTTCTGACCTTACATCTGAATCTTATCTTCCACCTACGTCTTTCAACATGCCCATTGTCACAGCAGCCACTGCTCTCCGGCGGTCTCTTGAGGACCCCAAGTCATTCATCGTCGCACCGGGTGTTTACGATGGTCTTTCCGCTCGGATAGCCTTGTCTGTGGGGTTTGATGCACTGTACATGGTGAGTGCTCAGCCTACACAATTGTATTGTCGTGGTTACTGAGCGTTACCATTCCAGACTGGCGCCGGTACTGCAGCCTCCGTCCACGGCCAAGCCGACCTCGGTATCTGCACCTTGAACGACATGCGCGCGAATGCTGAGATGCTCGCCAACATCTCGCCCTCTACTCCCGTCATAGCCGACGCAGATACCGGTTACGGCGGCCCAATTATGGTTGCTCGCACAACAGAGCAATACTCGCGCTCGGGAGTCGCCGCCTTCCACATCGAGGATCAGGTGCAGACCAAGCGCTGCGGACATCTCGCTGGCAAGATACTGGTAGACAAGGAGACGTATGTGAGCCGCATTCGGGCGGCGGTGCAGGCGCGGAAGCGCATGGGCAGCGACATTGTCGTGATTGCGCGGACCGACGCGCTCCAGGGCCATGGGTACGAGGAGAGCGTGGCACGGCTGCGCGCGGCGCGGGATGCGGGTGCAGACGTCGGTTTTCTTGAGGGGATCACGTCCAGGGAGATGGCGCGTCAGGCGGTTCAGGATCTGGCGCCGTGGCCCATGCTACTGAACATGGTCGAGCATGGAGCGACGCCGTCGATCTCGGTGGATGAAGCCAAGGAGATGGGGTTCCGTATCATCATCTTCCCCTTTGCGGCAATTGGACCTGCTCTGACCGCTATCCGCGAAGGTATGGAGAAGCTCAAGAGGGATGGTTTGCCGGGGTTGAGCAAGGACTTGACGCCGCAGATGCTGTTCCGCACATGTGGCTTGGACGATAGTCTCAAGGTGGACGTAGAGGCAGGAGGAGCAGCGTTTCAGGGCGGAGTAGACTTGGAGGATAAGGAGTAGGCTCATGGCAATAATCGATGAATGCGAATGGCGTTGCTGTTAATCACCTGCTATCACAGCCGCCAGTGTAGTAGTCCTGTTCGGTAACCAGGAACTCCAGGTCACATGACACATTTTGTTACCAGTGATCCAGTTTTTTGGCCATGTCAGCTCCAAACGATCATCGACCTGATGACGAGTCTTCACTTCGAGGTGATGAGTTTTGAAAGGAAATTACACATTTAAAGTTTTCCGGAAGGTCCCCGCCGCCGAGAGTTGGACTTTTATGAAAGAATTTCCTAACAACATGTGATGCCAAGCTTTGGAAATGACTGCCATGGGTGTGTTCGTGGTAAAGATTCTCTGGTTCCGCCGTCAACCACGGCCAGCTTGTCCACGGATACCATGTTTATTTACGAAGTAGCATAGTTCTAAGCGCCCAATCGGCGGCAGGCGTCCGCCAATTGTGTTGCTGGAAGGACTAGCACGCACAATCATTCATGATGGGATTTTGTCTTGCCTGTCGAATTGAAAATGAATTGCTGACATAGACTGCATTGGTCAGCGTAGGTATATCGCTGACATGCCATCATTACAAGTCAGTACCAGGGTTACTCTGCATTGCTCGTCCAAGTTTGGGTGAGTCAACGACTTGATGTACCTCACTGCCCTCTTGTACAAATGATGGATGTGGCAATTCGACAGTGGACAGTGGACACAGCGGTGGAGATGGTTGCATCTACTGTCCCTGTCGATTTGTTGCATACAGTCAATTGCCATTCTAGAATCTGGCGGTGGATAAAGATGTAGATGAATTGCTGTTTTCTGTTTTGTATCGACCCACTCTTCAGACCATGGAGTACTCTACTGGATGGGAGATCGGGCTGGCTACATGGGTCTTAAGAGTTCAAAATCCAATCTTAATTCGATCCTGGATTGGCTTTTAACGTAGTGAAGAAGAGATTTTCGATCGTATAAGCATGAAAGGGTGAAGTATGCCTTCGACGAGGGATAGCTCTAGAAAAAGAGCTCTAGCGAATGTTTTGCGGGAGGACGAGTAGAGTCAGTCGCTGTCCGTCAATCACCATCCGGCAGTCACAGTATGATGGCGGTAGCAACATTGGGATTCTCTCTACTGCGCCATTTTATCAGAACCCGATAGCCTACCAACACGTGGGTCACATATTGACGTGGCGAATTGCTTCCAGGGCCAGGTGTACCATGAGTCGCTGAATTGACTGATGTGTACCTCTCCAGATAGATTTTAATTCGACAATAATTATCCATAATTATTCCTGCATTTGGACTGATAGACCAGGGCATATGGGCTGTCGGGTGCTAGGAACGTGGCCAGCATTCCAACCATCTAATCTCCCACAATGACATCAGACTTCGACGAAGAATGCATCACTGTCATACTTCAATTGATCTATCAATATTTGACACATTGATCAGTTGAGTGCTGTTTACTTTCATCAAACATGGTCATCAAATGCACGATGCAGGTACCTGAGTAACAGTGGGACTACGATACATAAGAAGCTACCTAACCTATTACGATACCGTACCATAAAATGGGCCAGCAATCCGCGTCCCTATGCCAGGGATCGAGGGTCTCGACTGTTGTCCTATGTGGATACAAAGTTGTAAGCACAGCCAATCATTGCGTCTCCTGAAGCTGAGAGTTGACAGGCTCAGGAACCGTCGCTCTTAGTCGGCCAATCAGCAGCGGAGATGGCTCCTTTTTCCCCTGATCGCCCCCTTTTCATTAAACGAGTTGATTTCGGGTGCAGAACAGGAAGTACGTACGGACCCTCTCTCAGTCCCCTGCCGCTCCTCTTATTACACCCCCCAGTCCCCTCTTAGTCTCGCTCGTTCCTCTCTTCTTCCTTCTCTTTCCTCTTCTCCAGCGTCTGTTTTCTCTCCCTCCTTTGGGTACGCAAATCACACTCCTTTCAAGTCTTATTCACTCTCAATCAAGTGAGCATTACCTCGTGTCTTGCTCCTAGTCATTCTTTCATTGTCAGTAAGACGTTCGCACGATTGTTGCGTTCCCTGGGCTAGTTCTCTCCAGCAGCGTGATACCCTTTGCTTCTATCAAACACTCATCCGAACTATTTGACCCAACTTGAATCACACAAGTCCCTCCTTTTTCAAAATGCAGCTCAAGAACTCGATGCTCTTGCTCACGGCGCTGACCGCTGGCTCGTCGGTCGCCCGTATGCACGGCCATGAGCGCCGTCACCTCCACCATGCCGGTGAGAAGCGCGCGGTCGGTGACACAGTCTACGCTACTATTGACGGTGTTCTCGTCTCTTGGATCAACGAGTGGTCAGGTCAGGCTAAGACCCCCGACGCCCCCGTCCCTCAGGCTACTCCCGCCAGCAACGCTGTTACCCACGCTGTGGCTGCCGCTGCCGCCGCTTCTACTTCCAAGTCCAGCTCTTCCAAGTCCCACAGCTCTTCATCATCCGGCGTCTCCGCCGACTGGATCAACACCCCTGCCGAGGGCGAGTACTGCACCGACGGCTTCGGTGGCAGGACCGAGGCCGGCGGCTCCGGTATCTTCTACAAGGGCAACGTCGGTATCCCCTGGGGCAGCAACATCATCGAGGTTTCCCCCGAGAACGCCAAGAAGTACAAGCACGTCGCTCAGTTTGTTGGCAGCGACACCGACCCCTGGACCGTCGTCTTCTGGAACAAGATCGGCCCCGATGGCGGCCTTAACGGCTGGTACGGTAACTCCGCTCTGACCATCACCCTCCAGCCCGGCGAGACCAAGTACGTTGCTTTCGACGAGAACTCCCAGGGTGGCTGGGGTGCCGCCAAGGGCACCGAGCTGCCCAAGGACAACTATGGTGGATACTCTTGCACCTGGGGTGAGTTCGACTTTGACAGCGGCATCAACGGGGGCTGGTCCGGCTGGGACGTTTCCGCCATCCAGGCCGAGAACGCCGGCCATGAGGTCCAGGGTATGAAGATCTGCAACCACGCCGGCGAGCTGTGCTCCGTCATCACCCATGGTCTTTCCAAGGTCGTCGACGCCTACACCGCTGCTCTGGCCGCTGTCGATGGCATTGGTGGCAAGGTCCTCCCTGGCCCTACCCGTCTGACCGTCCACGTCGACTACAACGAGTAAATGTCTTTTTTGCTCGTAGTTTTGTGATGTCCTTCCTCTTTGGCTTGCATTCTGGATACCAATGTTATCTCTTGTCTTCGGGGTCTTTTCCTCGTCCTCTTAGCATGTAACTGTCTCACAACCTTTCTGACATTTCAACCCTTCCGCCAATGTCAGGCGAGGCGCTTCAAGAAGCATCCAAAATCCCAGCCATGACGATTTCAGCTTTCTCCGTGTACATACCTTATACCACCGTCGACTTGTGTTTCATAGTTCATACTGATTCCCTTCCTTTACATCTGGTACACACTACCTCTTTCTGTCTGTAGCTATTGTAATCTACTTGGTATATACTCTGCGCTCTTTTAATCTGTCACACGTTTGCGTCTTTTAGAGTTACTGACCAGCCTCCCTTTCCATTGGATAACGAGCCAATTAGGGAAGTTGGCGTCTGTCCAGCTCTCTGATCAGATGCTGATCTCATTTTACACCCAGAAATAGTGTCTTCACTTCAGAGCCCTAACTCAACCAATTACTAGTCGCTTGGGGTCTAGTCTAGGCCTCTACAGACTTGGTTCGCCGGCCCGACAAGCTGATACCTGAAACTCACTAAAGCGCCAGGGTCTAAAAATACACGCCTGCTCCGTAGGGCCTCGTGTCGACCAACTCTCGGGGTCCTATCTTTAGCAGTCAGCAGAGTGTTACGAAGCTGCCCTGCACCTCTGTCCATTAAAATCGCCGAGTAAATGAAAGACGAAGGCAATGCTTTAGCCTGAACCCAACGATACGAGGAGTATTACCCTTTTCGGAACGGTCAAGTAGAATGTAGATGCTCTATCCAGACTAAAACCAAGGTATCTAATAATACAGCACGCAGTGGCTACGCGGTGATTGATTCAAATTCCCAGGAACTCGGTGGCAGAAACCGATGTGGGCAGCTCAGGAAGCGCGAACTCGGAACGTCCCTCCTCTTGTCCCTCTTGCTCTTCCTCCTCCCGTTGCCCCTCTTCGCCCCCGAAACGGATTTCGAGAAATCCCACATGCACCATGTACCCGATCAGCGCGGCAACGCCGCCCGCCACTGCCGCGATGGAGACAAGCATGTCTTTTTTTTGTCCGGTAGCGTACTCAGACAAGGCGCGGCTCTCTATCCCTGACAACCCCGAGTCAGGTGACTGCGCCGCCTGTCGTAAGCGCTCGCTGGAGCGGATATCTTTGAGGATCGGGGTTGCGTCGGCGAGGTTGTTGAGTAGCGTGCTGCAGACTGTGGCGAGATTGGCGCGCTGGGGAGGCTGCCAGGGCAACGGCGCGGCATCTGTGATAGATCTCCGTGCCTCATCCAAGGCATGCGCGACCTCGACATCGACGGTGCCGTAGCATCGTTGGCGCAGGCGCTCGGTGTATGTCGAAAGTCGCGGGGCTTTAGTTTGCATTGCTTTGCGAAGAAACGAGTACGGTAGGTCCGGGATGAGGATTAGGGCGAGGTAGCCGAGCGCGAGACAGTCGACGCTTGTTGCACCGTCGTCGGAGAGAAGGTAGGTTTTCTGGCCTAGAATCTCCTCGAGGGGCTCAAATAGCTCCGCCGTGAGGGCCTCCAGCTTGAACTGGTTTTGCTGGGGGGTCTTTCCCAGGAGACTTGAGACAGTGTCCCGTGGCCGTTGGACGAGGTTCTTGGGTATCTGGCCTGCAGCGACGGCGGCCGAGTGTTCGCGTTTCCGTTGGTCTTCCATCGCCTGGAGGTCTAGCGATGAGAGGCCCAGGTGTTCTGTACGGCTCTTTGCGGCTGAGCGCAGCCTCGGAGGGATGATCCATTGGTTCGGCCATTGAAGAATGGCGCCGTAGGCGGGGGAGGTCCGGTTGTAGTAGTTTTCGCTGGAGACATACAGAGACAGGTCGTGGAGGGGCTGTCCACGGGATTCTACAAAGGACGAAAACCTGCCAAGCTGTCAATTCTATGAACGCCACCGTGACTCGAAGCGTCTGAGAAGGCTTACGCAATATTGTCCGCTCGGTCAACGCCGCTCAGTTCCCTGTCCAAATCCCATGCACCGTTCGAGTATTGACGCAGGTAGTCAACGATATTCCGAAACCGGCTCACCCATGTAGTCCCATTCTTCACAGCAGGTAGTTCATCTGCGGACAGATCAGCATATCGGATCTCCCAATTTCAATATCACTGCGATCTCGACTAGACGCAATGCAGCCATCGGTTCAACATACTCGTCGGAGACACGGAAGGATCGCTGCTTGCAATCAGCACCCACGCGTCCTTGGGCACTGCGAGGGAAAAATAAGCAATGGTAGCAAGGCATTGCGCCTCGATCGAGGGCAATGAAAAGGCCGGACCCCAGACATGAAGTTCCAGAACCATTGTGCTTGTCGGGGGAGCAGGCGCCTAGGAAATATGAGCGACGGCGAGTTGGAGATGGGTAAAATCACGTGCGGGGGGAGAAATACATTTATGCCTCAGGCATACATAAACGTATCACCGGCTGGGTACATCGTTCCGTCTTGGATTGGGAATGGCCTTGATGCAACCGGAGTGAAGCCAGCAGAAGCCGTAAATTCGTATGCCATGTGAGATAATTTCTGAATTACATGCATGTTTGCATTCTATCTCACCCCGCTATTAATGTGCTGTCTCACGTATACGATTCTTACCGATCGATAATGTGAGTGCTTTCTATCTGACACGATGACACGACGCTCGGTGTCCGCTGAGCCTCACCAGCAGTTTCAGGCTAAAGGGCGAAAGCGAGATAAGATGGTGCATTGACGATTCGTCAGAAATATCGCGATAGGACACAAGATTCGGCATGTCCACCTATTATCATCGAGACAAGACTGTTAAACGGACTTGTTCCGTGCCGGATAGGCAGATAATGAAACGGCGTTTACGCATGTGCTTAATCGTTTGGGCGAGAGTGACATGACTATGAAGGACGGAGTACAAGCTATCTACGTAATCCAAACCTGGAGAGTACAGCGGTAATGGATACCTCCCTAATAATAATGATTATGCGACTGTCAGCAACTATCCATGAAACAGTTGATATAAGCATCCCCGCAGTGTCGGCTGTGTCAGTTGACCGAGCACTGGCAAAGTTCAGCCCAACCAGGTACCATGTTCCACCTCCCAAATCAAGGCAAGACACGACTAAAACAAGGCACGGTGTTTCCGAACCACGCTTCCCAACGCTAACCACTAAGGGTAGATGCCTCAGGACCTAACTCAGCTCCGTCTCACCTGGTACGGGGAGACATGACCCAGTAGGGATTAATTGGCGTTAGTGATTCATCAATGCGTCAACGTGTCCTGTCTACGGAGTACTATGTCGCACATATGCAGCTAACATGGAGTATGCTGAGTTGCAGGAAGTTCAGGGATACTTGTAGAGCTGCAGATTGGCGGGGTGGGGACACGGTGCCTGTCGAGTTGTAGACTTGGCACCGCCATGGCACAGGGAATACTTGTGAGGCTTTCGAGGCTGTAGATATAATCCGTGCGCACGAGGGACAGCCAGGCTCATAATCGAGGCGATTTGGATCTCGTGTTGGTGCCTTTCCATAGTTAGCATTGCGCCACTAGGGCACTGTGTCAAATAGGAGGTCCTCAACCTTATATATGGTTCCGTGCACTTTGGGAAGACCCCGCCCCCCGAGCATGTCCGTGAGATATATCCGGGCGATGGTGATAAGAATAGCAGGCACTCAAGGTCGACATGCGATAATGGAGGGGTAAATTGCCCCTGCGCCATTGATTAACTAGTTGGTTAGTTGCCTGGAGGGAGTTGAGTCATCAATCAACCCGTTGCCTTGCCTTGTGATTCAATAAAATGCATAGGAGTGGTATGTATTGACAGGGATCAGGGACACTATTGAAGTCACCCATCCAGGTTCAACGTCTCTTGGTGCATGTGTACCTCTTTGTCTGGGCCAATCAACCACTAATCCTCTTAGTGAAACTTACAATCGCAGAACGCGGAGTCGATGTTGTCATTATGAGACATAACCAGCAAGTTCTACGAGGTAGCACAATCATAAGACGATTAGGAAGAAACAAAGTCACTTGACGAATTTGCATCATTATTAACTGTATCCAAACGCTGGTAACAATGCGATGTGGGTATATTAGGTCTATAGTACATGCCATTGGGCTCAAAGTGACAGAAAAAGGAAAAAAAAAAATAGTCAGGCTTCCACGTAGGGTAAAGCATCTGAATAAGAAACAAGAAGAAAATGAGAAAGAATGAAAATAAGTCTCCCAGAATTAAAGGCGAAGTCCAAGTTGAAGAAGTTCACTCGAACATGGGTAGTCCTGATTGCAAAAGACGCTTTGACACCGTCTGGGCGATCAGGAGGAGATTCAAGCCTCCATGCTGCAGCATGGATTTGGCGGAAATCCCGGAGCTTAGGTCCAGAGTTCAGGCACCCCTTTACAATGAGACAATTCCAAGTTCTTGACCATGTCGTCAGCTTGCTTTGCGGGGTTTGGTCTTGCCGACAATGCCGCTGAGAATTCGAAGTGGGGTCAATCATTTCAGCACCATGTTGATATCATCTCCATGTAAGATGCCGGGCGGTGTGCGCTGATCAATTAGCTACCCACGCAATTCGATGAAATTCAGCGTGATTCGAACGTCGCGATTGATATCGAATAAGCGTGGTAGAATAGGAAACAATGCGCCTGCGCATGTCTCCAGAAAGAAATAGTATAGAAATAAAGCCAAATCTCCGCAACCGTGGTTGTTGCAGAATCAAGCCGAGAAGGTCGGAGGTTCTCCGTGGATTAGAATGGTTGGAAATTGGTCCAAAGTATGGGTAGGATTGGTCGAGTAAAGGGCATATCGTCCGAGGAAGTGTATTAGAGCCAAAACCGAGTTGAAGTCGTGATATCCATGCCAGAGGCTGCAACCTCCCAGCTCATGAGCGTCTCGAGTCGGTGTGTTGTAGTAATCATTCGCACGACGGGAATTGAAGGCCGTGGAGGAGCCGCTCGAAGGCGCAAGGTCATCAAATTC